ACCTGGCAGGGCTCCTCGGCATTTAACAGCGATCAGACTGAGGCCAACTTAAAGGTTATGACGGACTCTGGCTTTTCGGAGGCTCGACAGGATCTGTCAGGTCTGTCCAACATACTCCTTTCCCGTGCTTAGTTTGTCACAAGTAAAAGCTAAAACACTTTCCCCCCCTCGCTCCACGCTTTTGCGATGGCCATTACTAGGGCAACAATTTTAGGGACCAATGAACGTAAATCTCACAGAGGTGCGAGGTTACTTTAGGTTTGGGAAGATAGCTATGACCATCTGGTGAATGACTGTCATGCCACTACAAAGGTGGCGCTTATGCGGGTCTTGCCACTACCTAATATATTTAACTGGGGAACTACTATCTGTCATATCTGGACAAAACCCCAAGAAGCGAATGTTAAAAGTCTTCTCCCTGTTCGAAGTTAGTACTTAATTCTCGCATCTGACTCTTCCCTCGTTGATATGATTAATTTTCGAAATGACGCCAACAGACCGCTACAGTTTCAGCATCCCACTTTTCTGTCCTGTACAGAAGTATTTTTGTTTTATCAATCATCTGTTTGTATATTTGAACGCGCAACGATTTAACAACTTTCCGACTCAGGCGGTCAACACTTGACGAACTTCACAGCGCAAAGCTCTCGCGCTCTGGCCACCTTTGTTCAGGCATGCTCGCGGTTCGGTTGTCCCGCTCTGCTGGACTGCTTTGCCGCGTGCTTGGCAGGCATGCTGGAAGAAGAGTTGGGTGTCTATCGGCAAGCGCTGAGCAACCCCAAGTTGGAGAAACAGGTAACTCCAAGTAGTTCAAGCAGTTTCCTACACACACACGGGCGCCCCTCAATAGCACTTCCGTGCACTTTTCGAAGATACCCCCTCGCACTTTGGTTATAACAGAAATTTCCATACTATTGGGAACAAGAACGTCAGAATATGACCTGAAACTGTCATTTACTACCCAAAAAAGATTATCAAAATGCCTGCTCCTTACAATGAAAGGTCCTTCCGGTCCAAAGGTCTTCATTCGTTTTGGTGGGATTTTTAATCTGTCGCCAACTTTACTATGTTGGGGGATTTTTTGAACTGATTTTGATCTGATCAATAATTTTTAGCCTTCGGCAGCCATGAGAACAGAAATGATCGAAATACCCCAGGGCGCCACGTTCCAATCCAGTGCCGTGTCGTCTGAAACTGCCACACGCCTTTATAGTCGAAGAGGTTGGCAAGCAGTCGTGATCACTGATTTTACGGACTACAGCGACCCGGCCTAGTACACAGGTAGCCACTGTCGTAACCCAAAGGGGTGCGCAAACAATTCTTGTCTCGGTTATTGCAACGACTGGGTTGGCCAAGTGCAGTCCACGGTACCGTGAGCTAATGTGACCTATGCTCGGCGATCGATGGCCAAGCAATCGCCGTAGATGACAGTTGATGACGTGTGCAAGTCACATATGTCACTTCATTCCGTTTTGGCACTCTCCTATCAGCTGCGTAAAGTCTACCGGTCTACACGTCTAGGCAAATCTATTAAATCAAAGCTTTCAAGCTTCCTGTCTTACCTTCGTCATAGTCTCGGCCAGAGAACGGTTTTGTTTCTGCAAAGGAGTTTCCAACCAGAACTATTCCTCCCGAGGCAGAAATTTGTCGTGTTTGTCATTCAAATTAAGATGGCGGAGTCTTGTCGGCCGCTAGTTACAAGGGCGATGTGCCCGCTCCCTTTACCGCCTGCTCCATCTTTTGTTACATCTGACTGATGGTATGCTTTACTGAAACTCAGAGGCTTCCGGTATACACCACCGGCGTTCAGGGCATTTCAGATAGCATTTCCACCAAGTGGGTTGAATGTTGCAATGCTACCAAGAAGACTGCCCACCGTTTACTGCTGGATGTAGCACCTTCCGGAAACCCATAGCATGGCACATATCTGATCCACTCCGCCAACGGGGCCGGGCGGGTCGACAGGTTGACCTTATCTACCCATTACATGTAATGCTCACTGATGTTCTTGAAACGAAGACCTAGATCCGGGAATGCGCGTCCACACAAGAAACTCGGATACGACTTCAGTATTCATGCGTATGCTGGTTAGATTAAAACCGGGTGCCGAAACTGCATAATTTATGTTTGAGACAGGTGACAAGGTAATTGCGGGTATGGAGATTGCGAAAATTTTCAAATTTGAGTGCTTTTCATAATTCCAGGCAGCAGATTTTTATCATCCCCATCTATGGCCAAGTGCACGTTATTCTGATGAATCATACTCCAGCTGCCAAAATTAGAAAACTGACATACCGTTGCGCATGCCCACCTGAGTATCTTTGGCATTCAAGTCTCTTCAGGGTTGCATTAATCCGCAGACAGCATTCATTATTTCCTACTGCTCAATGAATTCCCGAGATCTTACAGATAACCTAACCAGCTTGCGGTTATATGGACAATTTACCACCGTACACTCCGCAACTGCTTTTCCACCCGTTTAGCTCCTAGTTGTCACCAATAAGAGGCAGTTCCACTTCCCGTCACTCAAGAGCGTGCTGGTTAGTTGGTAGCTCATTTTATCTTGTTTACTGCTCCCAAAGTGATGTGGGTACAGAAGTTCCCATTCCCCGTAATATCGAGTCGCAGGGATTTCCTACTGCACTCCCAATTTTTTTGCAGGTTCCAATCATCCGGGAAAATCTGGAATTCTTCATGAATACAGTGATTGTAAAGCTTGTGACAAAACTGAATGTCCAAAATCAAACCGCCGTGAGGACCGCTGCCAAGGGTTTCAAGAAGCTGCTCAAATCTAACGCCTAGTGCCCTGCTTCACTGTTGCGCCTTTTGATCTCCGCACGTTTCTTTCCTCATCGTGATTTCCTTCATAAGATTATTCTTATTTTCCGCTGACGTGCACATTCCTCCCAGTAGGAAAAAACTACCGCAACCGCCCTAATTTAAGGCAAGCGGCTTATCCTCATGATCGTTTTTAGTATTCATATCAAGACACTGACGTAAATCTCCCTTATGTACGTTTTTAACATTGTCTGTTACTCTCTGAAAATTATTTCACTACAGTGTTAACTTCAGTTGATTCTTGTAAACAAATTTACAATCGTGGACCTACGAAACCCTGCAGTCCAGTTTCTGGGTGGAATTTATAAG